ACTTAATAATTATAAAACAATTTTTATATTAGCTATAAAAACTTGTAAAAACAATATATTTAACTTATTGTATACTTAACTGTAGGTTTTGCTTGAAAGTCTAAAAACGGTAGCTATATTATAACAAACTTCTATTCAATTTTGATGACATTAAATTTATTTTATATCCCATTACTGATGAATAAAGAAAATTTTGGATCCCCTAAAAAAGGGACGCCTTTCAAAAATCAAACTCTGGTATTCGGCCTAGACTCTAGACCAGTGGTTCCCAACCTTTTACGAGTGGCGACCCCCTTTTATAAAAAGAAAGTGACCCGCGACCCCCATAGAATTAAAAAGTCGAAATTAGGAAGGAAATTAATAAGCACTAAAATATTATTTTCTATTGGTTCATTTTCCCAGAAGCTTCAGGTTAAGCTTATGTATGATACTCTCTCCCAGTGTTTCTTCTAGATTTTTTTTCTCCAGGGGGGGGGGGGGCACCTGAAATTTTTGGTGAAGGGGCGGACAAAAATTTTCTGTTAAAAGTATATATATTTCCTACATAAATTCCATTTTTTTCGGGGTGGGGGGGGGGGGGTGGGGTGGGGGGTGGGGGGGGGGGGGTGGGGGTGGGGGGGGCGGTAGACTTTCTTCTGGGAGGGGGGTTGGAGTGAAGCATGGCAGAAACTCTGCTCCCTCCAACCATTCTTTGTCGTTAAAGTATATCAAAAGGTCTTATATCTTTTGCACTTACAAGAACAACTTGATTTTGTCTTTCAATTCAAAAACACGATTTAATACATTTCGTTTGACTGCCAGTGTAGAAAAGAAAAACCTCGTGATCTTTATTAATGTCTTTGCGCAGTTCTTTATGGGCTCCGGAAGAGTCGGAAGAGTTTTGCTGGCGAGGACGTCCCGGTGAAGAATGCAGAAAATAACCCTTGGTTAGGAAGCTAAATCTTTTATTGTTTTCTGAAAGCCCGATTTTGACATAAACATCGATGGCGCACCATCCGTACATACCCCACAGCCGTTTAAACCCATTTTAATCATCCAGTTTCAAAAAACGTATTCATTTTCTCCATGCTATTTTACCAAATAGCAACTCTTCTTTGCTATGATCTGAATGAATATATTTCACAGAGACAAAGCAGTGCGAACACGAACTTACGTCTGTTGATTCATCAACTTGAAAAGCAAACAATAGTGAAAGCTTGATTTAATTCAAAATGTGTTCTTTTACATTTACGGACATATCTGCTATACGCCGCTGAATAGTATTATAAAACAGAGATATTTGTTGCATCTTTACTGCACTGGAATCTCTAAGAATTATTTTCACCATCTTCAACATGCATGGTTTGGTGATTTTTTAAATGTTTTTTTTTGCTTGGCAATTTCTATCGCGACTTTATATGATGTTGTGTTTCCTTGGTGAAAACATCCTGTTCGATTAAGTCTCTAACGTTTGCGACTAGCTTCACGCCGACTAAAGTACTTCATATCGTTTTTGGTATGTTCCGAATGACTCGTCGCAAAATGAGATTTTAGTTTTGAAGATTTCCTGACTGAGAACAATTTTGCACAGTATGCATTGTTTCTTCTCTATTCCATTTCTAGTGATGTTAGTAAAGCCAAATTTAAGATATTCTTCTAAATATTTAAGTTTTGTTTCTCATTGCTTAGGTTTAGTATACCAGTTGGCGACCCCCCAGAAAGCCCTTCGCGACCACCAAGGGGGTCGCGACCCCCAGGTTGGGAACCCGTGGTCTAGACATTGATAGAATCATTGATTAAATATAAAAAACGAGCCGACCCGCAGCGTATCATACGCCGCTGTTTAGTTGTTTTATTTTCTACTTTTCAGTAATTCATAATTTGTGAATTCGACAGTACCAATGCTGCCACTGAAAATATTTGTTTTAAAACACTACCCCCCCCCCCCCCCCCCGTGAAAGCAGCCTCCTCTTAGTTATTTCTTAGTTACCTCCTGTAAGTTTAAAATCGAACTAAATTATCTGCCCCTAATAGAAACCCGGCTCTACGGCTCTACGATTTGTAAACATTTAGCTTTGTAAACATTTAGCGTGACCACAGCTCACCAGACAATTTGGGGGTGGGGTGGGGGTGGTAGTGATAGTGATAGAGAGAAAGAGAGGGGACTGCAAGGAGGCGCTTGCAGCTTGTTTTCTAACGGCTCCCAGAAGAGAATTATATATATAGATAAAAAAAATTGAATTTAAAAAAAAAGATTACGGTTAGTTATAAATTCCATCCTATTGAATATTATTTATTAATACCTTAAGAGTGGTAATATAGATTCATAATAAACCGGGAGTGATCTCCCCTAAACTTTTTCGAATATTCTTATATAAAATAACAGGGGATGGGAACTCGGGCTACAGACATGATTTTTAATCCATTTTAAATACTTAAAGTTTTAAAAATATAATAAAATCTCGTAGACAAATTAATTGCACACCAAGTGAACGCCAAATAAAAAAGCGCTGATTAGTGCGCAATATTATTAGTACTTTTAAAATTTACATTAGTTTTTTGAGAAATCGGAAGTAGCGTAAATTACTACTTCCAGTCAACGGAAATTACTCAAAATTTAACAGAAGGTAGAGAATTAGATTTTTTTACTTACATGTGAAATTTCATTTATCTATCTGAAATAGTACCCAAGTTATAGGCTTTTGAAAAATTCAAAGTAGAAAAAGTACCACTTCCGGTTATCGGAAATCGCTCAAAAGTTGATACGGATCTACGATTTTGATAAAATACTTATATATGAAATTTCATCAACCTAGCTGTAACGGTACTCAAGTTATCATGTTTACACACGGACACACACACAGACACACACACAGACATACGGACAGAATTGCAAAGCCCAGATTTTCAGACTGCATTACGCATAAAACCTCTTAATTTTGATAAATCTGGATTGATAATTTTTGCCCGATTAAAATAAGTCCTCTATACTTCGGATGTGATGAAGGACTGAGGTATAATACGGTGAAAATAGTTAAAATTTCAAGTGATTTTTGTGCACGATTACAATACTTTCTCTATACTTCGTATATACGAGAAAGTAAAAAACTAAAGATTTTTCAACTGGAGTGCGCCTAATAGTGTGTTCCTTCCTGAATTGAAATCATCTAACTTACGATAAACTCGACTACTCGATATACTCTACTACAGGGGTTCCCAACCTTTTTTTACTCTAGAGCACATTCTAAAATATCGGTAGGGTGGCGGGCACCACCTATTTTAAATCGACAAACTCCTTCCATAACTTGTCATTTTCCCATAATTTATTTTCTTATTTTCTTATACTCATAATGTATTAATAAATAATGAACAAAAATGTTTCAAAATAATAAAATTATTTGGCCTTTTTTTCAAATTGCATACACACAGAGAAATGTAGTTACAAAACGTAAAGAAAGGTTTTCTGCGTGTACAAGGTGTGATGTGCAAATGGCACTAGCCGTTCCAGGCTAGCGTAAATAGTGCAGTCTGGCTCGCCGCTAGGCAAGTTGGGACATATTTAATAAACCTAGGCAGTCAAAAAAAAACTGTAACAAATAATTTAAAATTAATCATATTTTAAAATAATGTTTATGAAAAAAATTCTGTCTCTGTGAGAGGCGGGCACATACGAATCATTCAGCGGGCGCCATGGCGCCCGCGGGCACAGGGTTGGGAACCCCTGCTCTACTACATTCACAACACATATCAAACAACTTCGATACCTAAACATAACTACACCCGATGCTCCAGAACTACGACACCAACTCGTTTAACTTCACCAAGCTCTACACACGATATTCCCAATCTATAACGATTTCACTGGACCTACTACTACACTTTAACAGTCAATATAATTCGATACCTTAATACCAAAATAATCAATACTCCCGAATCCAGGACTACGATACTTCATAACCTGCATTCTTATTTCTCTATTACCAATCAGATTCCACTAGACCTTCATCTACAAAACAGCCGAATACAAATTATGACACTTTAACACTTTGATACTTTATACCTAAGAAACCATATCAGCAACAGCCCTCCGCCGTTACTCCCAAATCTAAACGATTCATCAAAACTTACTAAACAAGTACAATTCTTTAAACACCCCGTCATTACCAAACTCTATACACCAGGACATAATTCTAATTCAAAGTAAGAGAAAACGAGACTTACAAGCCCTATTAAAATTAGATAACCGTTTGAAATGTTCGAAATTTAAATTACGAACTTATTTAAAGTGGCTGTGATGAAAAGTATAGTATTAGTTTAACTATTACACAACTTATACAAGGGTACGATATTAGACAAATGTTTTTTCGAAAAACTAAGTAAAACTAGACAGTATGCCCAGTGGCGTAGCGAGGTTGGGTGTCACCCGGTGCGGAACTTAATGGTGTCACCCCCAGAGGCGTAGTGACCCTTCCCGGGACAAACTTTCAAATTTTCGATTTGCACCCCCCCCCCCCCACTCAAACTTTCGATTTGCACCCTCTACTCAAGTTTTTCTCTATATATTTTGCTATTTTTTGCCTTGGTGTCACCCCCCCCCCCCCTAAATGGTGTCACCCGGTGCGGTCCGCACCCCCGCCCCCCCCCCCCCCTCGATACGCCTCTGAGTATGCCTATAGTAGTTTATCTCATCTCCGCATTAACCCATCACAAATTATCATGAGTCCTTATCCTTACATTTGTTTTTTTTCTTATGACCAGCAACACATACACGCCATTGAGAATTCAGTTTTTCTATTGATTGGCTTGTAACTTAATGAGGTTTAGAGATTAAGGCATACACTTATAGGCCCTCCACTCCCCACCTCCTCATTATGCTGTCATACATTTTAATCTTGTGCGTGCACATCGTGTGTCATCGATGTGATGGTCTCGTTGCATTATATGTGTGTGACCCCCGGGCAGATGAGGCTCGAACACTGGGGACAGCAACCAGTGTAGTGGGAAAACCACAAAAACACATAACTACTGCCTTGTATGGAAGCATTTCCAGAAAGAATAGGCTGAACTCTGTGTCAATGGCCTATGAAGCGCATAAAGAGTTCACACGTTGAACCGTAATTGTGTTGGAAATAGTCACGTCTAACATTACAATTAAGCAGAGGAAGCTGTTTCTATTAATGCAGAGCTGTTCAACATTTCACAGAAACAAGTGAACTCTACTTCACTTGCCCTATAGACCGTCAGGTTTGAAAAGGGAACCTTACTTTTTTCTTACAAAAATGTATTCTGATTATAAAATGGATTGTATTTTTAACTAATTAATGTTGAATTGACCTAGATTCTAGATCTAGTTCTATAAATAACTTTCTTCGACAGCTGATATTTTTAGATTCTAGATCTAGATCTAGAGAAATTTATTGTATAGGCTACTTATATGAAAAGTAGTGTTGAAAATTGATATTTGCGTTGGAACGTAATAGAAATAGCAAACGGGCGTATTGTAAGAGCTATAGCCGACAGAATATTAGCTTTAGAACGCGTTAAACGTTGGAATGGGCAACGAAATCTTGGATGGAAGCCGCCATTAATGTTGTATAAATTAAATCAATCATGTGACGTCACTATTCACTATAAGTAAAGTCGTTGTTCTGAACTTTTATAATTAACTAGACTACCCGTCATCCCTTGGATAACTGTGGGTTTCGGGGGTCATCCATCAAAAAACATCACGTCTGTCACTCAGAGGCATAGCAACCCTTCCCAGCGCCCGGGGACAAACTTTTCGATTTGAACCCCCCCCCCCCACAGGATTTCGATTTGCAACCCCCCCCCCCAAACTTTTGATGTGCACCCCCCCCCCTCAAGATTTCGATTTGAACCCCCCTCCCCCACTCAAACTTTCGATTTGCACCCCCCTCAACCTTTCAATTTATTTTTCCAACCCATTTTGGCGCCCCCTAAGGTCGGCGCCCGGGGACATATGTCCCCCCCCCCCTCGCTACGCTACTGCAGTGTCACTTATCACAAAAAACAGACCCCCACATTCCAAAATATGTTTTTTATCTTTTAAAAACACCGAAAACACCGATTTCGGACTATCCCTTCATATACTGACGTCACAGGTGACCTACTCAACTCTACTTCACCTGCCCAGTGTCCCGCCAAGTCTCAAAAAACTATTCCAGCCGAGCATGTCTCTGACCACACTATCTTTTCATATGCTTAGGACAAAGAAACAGATGAACTCTACTTCACCTGCCCTGTATCCTGCCAAGTTCAGATAGGCAACTTTATCATTCACATATAAAAAAAAAATTGAAAAAAAAATATCATTGACATATTGATCTAGAACCTGTGCCACCCGCATGAGAGCCGATTACACTACCAACTTAGCTATTTACTCGTAACGTCACAAGTGAATTTTTATACTATACTTTGAGTCTCCTTATGCAACTTGATTTACGCGCATAGATCTAGAACTAAGTCTAGTAGCAATGACTTTCAAATTAAATTTTATATTAAATTAGCCAAACAAAGATTTATATAAAATAAAGAAGGTCTGAAATTATCTAGATCTAGATAGAATTATCTAGATCTAGATTCTACGACTCGCTTGCTTAAGTCTTAAGTTTAGTTTTTCTTGCTAGATCTAGAATCTAGATCTAGATAGATCTAATCATTAGCTACGCTGATAGGCACGGAGCGAGCATTTCAAAATTTGCATAGTCGAAACAAAGATTTATACAAAATAATAAAGGTCTAAAATATTTTAGTATATAGAAACTCATTATTATCTAAATCTAGATAGAATTATCTATATTCTAGATCTACGACTGGTTTGCTTAAGTCTCGTTTTTTTTTGGATTGTATTTATAACTAATAAATCATTGATTTGACCTAGATTCTAGATTCTAGATCTAGATCTATAAAATAACTTTCCTTCGACAGCTGATCTTTAGATCTAGAGAAATTTATTGTAAAACTAAATGAAAAAGACAGTTTTTTCTTTTTTGGTTTGTATTTAGATCTATAACTAATAAATCTTTGATTTGACCTAGATTTAGATTCTAGATTCTAGATCTAGAATCTAGATCTATAAATAACTTTCTTGAACAGATTGTAGATCTAGAGAAATTTATCGTAAAACTAAATGAAAAAGACAGTTGAAAATTGATATAAGTGTTGGAACGTAATAAATACAGCAAACGGACGTATTGTTAAAGTTAAAGCCGACAGAAAATTAGCTTTAGAACGCGTTAAACATTGGAATGGGAACACAATGTTCTTCGATAGGCCGCCATTAAAATAAACACATCATGTGACATCACTGTTTCCATCGAGTCTAGTGGCTTTTCAAATCTTTAAAAAAAATTGTGGTTATTCTACCTATGAATATATCAATAAATTAATTAACGTCTTTAAATAAATGTGTGATTAACAGTCTGTCTTAAAACAAAAATTGTTCTCTACCTAGATACTATTTTACAGCTGTCCACAATGAATAGAAGTATTCACAATACCCAATCAGCCAAACAAAAAAACAAACAAATAAATATTCAAACATGTAAACAAAGTTGAGTTTTAGTAGTATTAGATAGAAGATAGATGTGGTTAATCTACCAATGAATAAATCAATAAATTAATCAACGTCTTTATTTTAATTTGTGATTTACAGTCTGTCTGAAAACAAATATTGTTCTCTACCTACATACTATTTTACAGCGCTATACATAGTGCAGATTCTCTCCTGTAACCAAACGGACAAACAAAAAAAATAATAAAAAAATAAAAATAAAAATAAATAAATATTCAAACATGTAAACAAACTTCAGTTTTAGTAGTATATAGAAGATGTGTAAAGAATCTGTACAGCATATAGGCTTGTGATTATTATACTGTAATCTACTCGTCAGTTCCCATTATGGTATGCGAAACTAATTTTCAAAATCTGCTTTTAACCTGTTAATCCCCAAAGGTTTACCAAGTGTTTCTATAAGCTGGATTTATCACTACTCTTGTTAATTAACACAAGCCAATAGAAATGAGACATGTGATAAAACCTACATTCAAAAATTGAATTTAACGTGTCATGAACAGAACACTTGTATTCTCCCAGCCGTTGGCATCGCGAATTGACTAAATAAGCATCGCGAATTGACTAAATAATAAATTACTGTTATTATTTGGTAGCATTATTTCATAACAATGTAAGTATTTACTTTCTGGTATCTGTATGTTTATTTTTTATGTTAAACTTTAAGCTATTGTATATTTGAGAATGTAATATTGAAAATATCATTCGACGGCTAATGTAAAAAATATTAACAATATGATATCGATGACAACAAATCAAAGTAATAAAACTAATTGATTTATAATTACTGATTTGTTTTATTATTACACCTTTGTTTAGTTTTCCTCAGCTGATTAAAATGAAGTTCGCGGTTCTCCTTCTCGTGGTCCTGGTGTGTCTGTTAAATCTCATCGTTGAATCCGAAAGGTGAGTTCACTTAAACTTTCCTTATCTCATAACAAAAGTAAAGTTCCCTTTTCAAACCTCAAGATACGGTGGGCAATTAAAGTATACTAGCCGACCCGCGGCATATCATACGACGCTATTTAGTTGTTGTTTTTTCTACTTTTCAGTTATTCATAATTTGTGAATTCGACACTACCAACGCTGCCACTGAAAATATTTCTTTAAAACACTATAAGTAGCTCGTTAAGGACGATAATCCCCCCCTCCTCCCCCTCCGTTAAAGTAAACTCCACTTAGTTACCCCCCCCCCCTACGTTTAAAATCGTTTCAAAATAAATTATCTGCCCCTAATAGTCGTCACTAAACCCGGCTCTGTTTGTAAACATTTAGAGTGAACCACAGCTCACCAGACCATGTAGGTGTGGGGGTGGTAGGGAGCGCGTTTACAGCTTGTTTTCTAGCGTCTCCCAGAAGAGAATTATATATATATAGATTGACTAGTTTGTGTAACCATAGCACTTGAATGGATAGTGTAGCCAGCACTCAGGACTTGAGTAAGATACCCATCTTCTCTATTTCAAGCAAAACGAAGAGAAAATGATATTTTTGCAGCATTGTCCATCTGTTCATGCTTCATGATCAACATTCCCTCTAAAGGGAAAAGGCTAGTGTGCAACTTGTATTTTGTGTGCGCGGTGTTCTAAAAGTCTTATACCAGGATATATGTATTTTACAAAAGGACTGCGCGGTAGTTTTAAAACTACTGCGCTGCCGCGCAACCGCGCAGCTTAGAAGGAAGACTGTTCATGATGCTATGCTATATATTCGTGTGACCCACTCCCCGGTTAGATTGTGTCAGTCTGCCTTCAAAGATGCAGACAACTCTTTAACATTTTAAATTTTAAATAGATTTGAAAATTGTATCTCTGTAAATTTAGCAATTATTCAAATTGATGTGACCTCTTCAATAGTGTTACCTGTCCACGACTGTGTGTATTAAAATTGATAAGAAAAACATCATTACCAATGCAATAAATTAAGTTGTAAGCCTGCAATTTTATTTTTTTTTTTTTTTTTTTTTTTTTTTTTTTTTTTTTTTGTAAACTATTTGTGCACCAAACGATGAATAATTTCATTGATTCATTTTAATTTCTTGTCACACAACTCAAACATCTGCTTCATATTTTCTTCTTTATGTTTAAACAGTTGTTGTAAAACGTATGGTCAACGTTGTGGCGAAGGCACAGACTGCTGTCCTTTTCTTGAGTGTAGCCTCAAGAGGTATTTGATATGGATCTAATTAATTAAATTTAAGAGTAATTTCTTTGTTAAGCGGAATATTATATCCACACTAAAAGTTATCATAAAGTGGTGTGGGCTGGGGTATTGACCGTTCTCATATTAAAATGATAAAATTCACAAGTATTTTATTTTTATATTATATTTTAAAATAAGCCTCAACCTAAATCTCCCATAACGATCCATGATTTACACCTAAAGATCACAATTGTGAATAAAAAGGGTGTTTTACGTCTAGTGCAGTAAGTAAAACAATACCCGAGACAATAGCTTTACATTGAACCAGAGTTGTCCGAAAGGTCAAGAAAGACCTAGTGTATGTGAAATGTTAATTTTTTTCAAAAAACTGTGTTTATTAAATAATGGATCGACCACAGGCTTGTCAAATAATCCTGAAAAATAGTGGCGTAGGCAAAGGGGGGGGGGGGGGTAGGGGGGATAACCCCTCCCATGGACTCACACCCCTATATATATATATAGGGGCGTGAGTCCATATATATATATATATATATATATATATATATATATATATATATATATATATATATATATATATATATATATATATATATATATATATATATATGATTTTATACATATGGAAAAATATTTGAACCCCTCCCATGTCTGATTCCTGGCTATGCCACTGCTGAAAAATATCTTGTTATCTGCCTAATAAGCTCCCTTAAACTATTGCATTAAATAATGTGGCAGCATACGCCTCAGTCGAATAGTAGATTGTAGTCTGGTAACCCTAAAGTCTCGAGTTCGAATCCTCCCTGTTCTGATGAGTACCTGACTCACGTTAGAGAAAGTAAAGATTACTTGACAGAGCTAACCTCACGTCGAGCTCAGTTGCGTGTTGTGTCCCATGGACCGCCATCTTTGATGGGGTCACGTGATTTTAAGTAATGTACCGGGATCTTTCCTCTAGTCCAAGATACAATTTTCTTATCCGACGGTCCTAATAGAAATTTGATCACTTCATATGGTCTAGCGGTAGAGAGCTGGACTACTAACCAGTAAGTCTCGAGTTCGAATCCGGGTTCAAGTCAGTAGACCGTCTCTGAGTTCGAATCCAGGTTCAAGTCAGTAGACCGTCTCTGAGTCCACCCAACTCTGATGGGTACCTAACTCACATTAGGGAAAGTAAAGGCGGCTGGGCATAGTGCTGACCACACTATCTCTTCATATGCCGAGGTCACAGAAACAAGTAAACTCTACTTCACTTGCCCCCATAGACCGTCAGGTTTGAAAGGGAAACTTTATATGAGATGGATGAGCGCTAGAGTTTCAATTTAAGTATTACACTGAGATATAAACAAAACTGTATTGACATGAGAATATAGCTTTAGCGTGCATAGAGATAATAGCTTTTGCGGCGGTTAGATACGTTAATGGCTATTCTGTATTAGCTTTAAGAGATAAATCAAATGACTGTTCTAAAATGTTTTTATTCAACCATCAAATAACTCTAAAATACGGAAACTAAGAATATTCAGAAAACTTTAGCTAAAGGTGTCAGAATTATAATCGTATGACGGCAGAAAAAAATAATTATCTCAGCAAATTATTCCAATTGTTTAAGATACAATTTATTTCTATTTAATGATAATTTTTGTTTTTAGCGTTGTGCGTTATGATACAATTTGTAATTGAAACATAATTTTTGTTTTTAGCATAGGGTTTGCCTGTGCTTGACGTGGAAAACCAAACGGTAAAGTATGTTATCGAGAAAGTTGTTTGTATTGGGTTTTTTTCTGTCTGTCTGTCTGTCTGTCTGTCTGTCTGTCTGTCTGTCTGTCTGTCTGTCTGTCTGTCTGTCTGTCTGTCTGTCTGTCTGTCTGTCTGTCTGTCTGTCTGTCTGTCTGTCTGTCTGTCTGTCTGTCTGTCTGTCTGTCTGTCTGTCTGTCTGTCTGTCTGTCTGTCTGTCTGTCTGTCTGTCTGTCTGTCTGTCTGTCTGTCTGTCTGTCTGTCTGTCTGTCTGTCTGTCTGTCTGTCTGTCTGTCTGTCTGTCTGTCTGTCTGTCTGTCTGTCTGTCTGTCTGTCTGTCTGTCTGTCTGTCTGTCTGTCTGTCTGTCTGTCTGTCTGTCTTGGTTCATGATTCAAAACAAGTCTCATTTAATCATGCAAAATCGATTCAGCGTTTTGAAAGTGAAAATTTGGGCAACGAAATGATATTGACCAGTTCGTATGTTTAGATTAGTATTTTTATTATAAATATCCTTAAATTTTATAAAAATATCTTGTTAAGTAAACAATACTGTTCCTGTTTATAATTGACTTTTCTTTTTCCTCGCAGAAAACTAAAAGAATAAAAGAGACTATAAAAAAAAAATATCGATCATTGACAAAAGTTTTAACTTTTTTCCTTCAATTTAGTTTTTAACCAAATAGGGATTGATAAAAAGAGAATATGTCACCACATAAAACATACTAAACTGCTGACTGTTGTGGGGATTTTTCAATGAATCTTATTAGTTGGAGTTATGCATGTAGCACAGAGAAATAAATGTACTTGTCTTTATTTTATATCCGCGTGTTACTGTCTGATATATGATATAGCCGCTATGTGATTTATGTCATTTGATAAATGCCCTTGTTTCTGATGGTGACCGGAAAAATGCGCAGCTGAAAATTGTGCAACAGAAAACATGAATGGGCATTTGTGTTTTCTTAAATCGATCATTTAAAGACATTAACAAAGAATTAATAGATGTACATTTTAGCATACTACACCATACTTCACCGAAATATGACACAATTAAATTAAAATGGATTAGTATAATTAGTTTGTATTTGCGCATTTTTCTGTTTGGGCAGTTTTCCGATGCGCAGTTTTGTGTCGAAACATCAAAGCATTACTATCATAGTTACTTAATATCTCGTGAGTTACCACCACATGATAACATATTGAATAGAAAAATTAATTTTCCACGGTATATAAATGTAAACTTTCCTTTTATGAAGTTAAAACGCTTGAAGCATATTTCTTCGAATCCTATTTGTACTATTGTCGTCACGTTTTGGGTTAATTTGATGATTGATTAGTTGTCTCGTCTACAATACAATCGGCTCCATAAACATGATAATACATAAGGAAAGTTTTATTTAATGGTATACCTGGGGTAATTTTTCTCACAGTATAACAGAAGGTGAAGATATTGATTGATGTGACGATTGCTGGACTTCGATGATCTGTCGTTAGGTGGTGCAGGTTTAACTTTTAAAATGTTTGGTAGTTTTACATTCGAAGAAAAATTGTTTTGTTTCCTTTTGCCCAACACAAAACATTCCACCACAGAATGTAAACTTGTTAACTCTCGCTGGAATAATAAAAAGAGCTGGAATTTTATTTTTAGTCAGTATAGCTGGAGGAATATATGCCCAGTACATGTGAATGGTTTTTGTGTAGTCTAAACGTGACAGATCAGGTTTTGCACGTGGTACTCCTGTCTTCTTATATTCTCCAGTTGCTACTCACCTTCTGAAGTGTAACAAATCAAATGTCAAGTCATCTCGTTTATTAGGATAACCCAAGTCAACCTTTTGATTTAATGTCAAGTCAACCCGTTGAGGTCAATGCGCCTTTCTCCACCCTTCCCCAACGCCACACACACCTCTCTCATTACGTCATTAGGACACTATCAATGACTTTGTGAAACTACATCTAAACGTCAGACAACAAATCTTTCTAAAATATAAACACTGTGCCAGAGGCGTAGCGAACCTTCCCGGCGCCCGGGGACAAACTTTCGATTTGCACCCCCCCCTCAAACTTTTCATTTGCATCCCCCCTCAAACTTTCGATTTGCACCCCCCCCCCCCCTCGAACTTTTCATTTGCACCCCCCTCAAACTTTCAATTTGGCGCCCCCCTAAGGTCGGCGCCCGGGGACATATGTCCCCTCCTCGCTACGCCTCTGCACTGTGCCCTAGGTGGGTGATCAGTTTAGGGGAATAAGCAGATAGTAGTTTTGAGATTAACAATGCCAGTAATATAGCTTAACAGATCTTTTTATAAAACTAAACAGATGAGTTATTGACGCTAAAAATATCTTGTTATGGAGCTAAGCAAATCAGGTTAAAGAGCTAGATTTGGAAATGAAGCTAAACAGTACCATAGAATAAGGAAAAGATTTGGATTAGTTTAGTTACTACACAGATTATATAAAGGGTAAGATTTTTTTTTTTCGAACAACTAAGTAAATCTAGACATCATGAAAGTTTGCTCATGTCCACATTAACTCATCACAAATTATCACTAGTCCTTATCCTTACATTTGTTTTTTTTTCTTATGGCCAGCAATACATACACACCATTGTGAATTCAGTTTTTTTATTGATTGGCTTATAAAATAATGAGGTTCAGAGATTAAGGCATACACTTATACCCACTCTACTACCCCCCTCCTCATTTTAATCCTGTGCGTGCACATAGTGTGTCTGCGATGTGATAGTCACGTGGCATTAAATGTGTATGATCCCCGGGTAGGTGAGGATCGACAGCTGGGGACAGCAACCAATCTAGGGGGAAAACTACAAAATACAATAACTACTGCCTTCCATGGGAGCAAATCGAAAAAAAGAAAAGGCTGAAATCGGAGTCAAAGGCCTACTTGGCGCATAACTAGCTGACACGTCAGTGGCGTAGGCAGGGGGGGGGGGTAACCCCCCCATAGACCCCTCGGTGTATATATATATATAAATTATGAGGGGGGGGGGGTGCAAATCGAAAGTTTGAGGGGTGGGTGCAAATCGAAAGTTTGAGGGGGGGGGATGCAAATCAAAAGTCTGAGGGGGGCTGCAAATCGAAACTTGTCCCCAGGTAAAAATTGGAACCCCCCCCCCCCCTTTAGACGATCCTGGCTAAGCCACTGTGACACGTTAAACCTGTATTGTGTTGGAGGAAGTTACGTCCAACATTACAATTCAAAAAGAAACAGAGGAAGCTGTTTCTCTTAATGCAGAGCTGTTCAACTTTAGCACAATGCTGTTTCTTTTAAGACAAGGCTGTACAAATTTTGAAAAAAAATGCTGCTTCTGTTAAGGCAAGGTTGCCACTACTCAACATTTGCTCAATACCATTTTAGTTTTTATCATAAACATTATTTATTATACCAGTAAAGAAGAAAGAACATTATCTATTGCATTAGAACCTTATAATAAATATAGAAGTGAACAATCTTCTCTGCAATAGTAATTTAACCATGAACATTATCAGTTGAAGACGTGTGTGTGTGTGTGTGTTTGTGTGTGTTTTGATGTGTGGGTGTGTGGATGTGTGGATGTGTGGATGTATGAGGGTGTGTGGATGCAAATACCCATGTGTTGACATATGGTGATGGTGTGTTTCATTGTTTGTGGTAAATGTCAAAAATGTGTTCAATTTTTTTTGTTTACTTTCTTTGCAAGATACAAATTAAAAAAAAAATGTTATAACAGTGTGCCATAGCATAAACAATATATTTTTTGTCTAATGTATATGTGTATACTAATATCAAAAGGCTTTCTGCTTAAAGTATGTGTCTAACTTAATCTTTAACGCATTCTTTTATTTCGAAATGCATATACCTGGATTTATCTATTGATTTCATTGACCGTTCATTCGGGACATTTCATTAAGATGTCTTTCAGATCTGTTCAGCTTACAACCTTGCGATTATTATAATGTAATCCAGGGGCGTAGCGAGGGGGGGGGGGCGGGGGGTGCGGACCGCACCGGGTGACACCATTTAGGGGGTGACACCAAGGCAAAAAATAGCAAAATATATAGAGAAAAACTTGAGGGGGGTGGAAGTCGAGGGGGGGGGGGTGCAAATCGAAAACACTTGAGGAGGGGGTGCAAATCGAAAGTTTGACGGGGGTGCAAATCGAAAACTTGAGGGGGGGGTGCAAATCGAAAGTTTGAGGGGGGGGGTGGAAATCGAAAACTTGAAAGTTTGTCCCCGGGAAGGGTCGCTACGCCTCTGGGGGGTGACACCATTAAGTGCCGCACCGGGTGACACCCGACCTCGCTACGCCACTGATGTAATCTACTTGTCAGTTCCCATTGTGGTATGCGAAACTAATTTTCAAAATCTGCAGTCAACCTGTTCATTTCAATAGATTTACTGTTTCTATAAGCTGGGTTTATTACTACACTTGTTAATTAATAACAACCAACAGAAATCAGCCATATTATAAACCCTACATTTAAAAAATTAATTTAATGTTCCTTGAACAGAACACTTGTATTCTTCAAGACGCTGTGCATCGTGAATTGACTTAATAATAAGTTATCATTATTTTATAAAATAGTAATCATTGTCATTGTAATCAATGTTTTTTACGTGTAATTTTAAAGTAATTGTAAATTTGAGAATATAATAGTAAAATATTATTTGATGGCTAATATAAATGTATTAACAATTTGATATCGATGACATCTAATCAAAGTAATAAAACTAATTGATTTATAATTACTCATTTGTTTTATAACATTAATATTAAATGTATGAACTAAGCATATGTTTGTGTTTGAAACTAACAAGAGAAATTCTTTGTTCAGTTTTCCTCAGCTGATTAAAATGAAGTTCGCAGTTCTCCTTCTCGTGGTCCTGGTGTGTCTGTTAAATCTCATCGTTGAATCTGAAAGGTGAGTTCACTTCAACTTTCCTTATCTCATAACAAAAGTAAACTTCCCTTTTCTAACCTCACGATCCGTGGAGCAATCCTAACATATAAAAGACCATGTGCGCACTTCTCTCTCTCCTCTCTCTCTGTATCTGTTCGCAAGTTTTTTAGGCGATGTGATCAATATATACAGCGATATATGGGGAATTTAAAGATATGGACTTTTGTTGAAATTAATATGGTGTATGTTAAAAATTTATAAACTAAATTTTATTTATTAAAGCAGGAAAATAAAAATAAAGGCATATTCTAATGTAGAAACACATTTTTAACTATGCCGCTGGAAAAGTGTTTATTGTTGTGGCAACAACGCAATAAACAATGACGTCACATGCCACATGCTTAAAACTACGGAAAGAACACAAAACTAATGGCGTCATCTTACATTTTTAAAACTGCATTTAGATCTACTTATCAATACGTACGCTATGAAATGTATACAATTTTCTCAGCCTAAACTAATAAAATTTACTTTATCTTTTTAAATTCTAGATCTAAAGCGACGGGTAAACTAGAATTAATCCAGCCGTAGATTCTACATCTAGACTCTAGCTCTATCTAGATCTAGATCTAGAATGTATACAAATAATGAGTTTCTATACTAAACTATTTCAGGCCTTGATTATTTTATATAAATCTTTGCTTTGTTTATTTAGCTATGGAATTGGCTAATTTGGAATATAAATTAATTTGAATAGTGTCTATTCGCGTAACTCAAGTTTCTTACACTGACTCTAGATCTAATTAAAGTACCCCACTAATTCTGCAACTAATTGTAGATGATAGTCTAATAGGTACCATGCGGGTGGTACGGGTTCGATACACACCACGTCAATGATTTTTTTTTTTACAATTTTTTTATAGATATGAATGTTAAAGTTCCCTATCCGAACTTGGCGGAACACGGGCAGGTGAAGTAGAATTCACCTGTTTCTGTCTTTTAGCATATGAAGGGATAGTGTGGTCCGACCCATGCTCTAGTCAAAATAGGTGTTTTAAAAAGACAAAAACAACATAACTACCATTGAACAGCCGGGTTTTTAACCATTTAAGTCCCTTAATTTTAAGTCTCTTAATCAGCGTGTGCATTTATTATGGTGTTGTGTTGACTAATAATGTATATAATTCGGTTTTAATTTTTCTAATAGGTATTGGTAGTCTGTGTTATTTTAAATGTGTCGGATTTTTTAAAATTAAGTTTTTTCTTTGCTTTGTCACTAAAATCGTTCCACGTTTAGTAAAGCACATAGCGTTTTGACGAATATCGTTTTATAAAATATGTTTCTCATACAAGTATAACATTAAAATATTAAAATATATAAGCCTATAATTCACAGCTAGTTGAAGTAGATTTGACTAGTTTCTGTAACCACATCGCAGAGGCGTAGCGACCCTTCCCGGCGCCCGGGGACAAACTTTTAGATTTGCACCCCCCCTCAAGATTTCGATTTGCACCCCCCTCAAACTTTCGATTTGCACCCCCCGTCAACCTTTCAATTTATTTTTCCAACCCATTTTGGCGGCCCCTAAGGTCGGCGCCCGGGGACATATGTCCTCCGCCCCCCCCCCCCTCGCTACGCTACTGCCACAGCGTATGAATGGCTAATGTATCCAGCACATTCCTCAGCCACTTTTACTTTCCCGAACGTGATTTAGAAAACCATATTCTCTATTTCAAGCAAAACGAAGAGATATTAATATTTTCCAGCACTGCCCGTCTGTTTTATGCTTCATAGGCCTTATTTTTTTATATTTACATTCTTGTGACCCATTCCTCGGTTAGATTGTGTCAATCTGCCTCAGAGGCGTAGCGAGGGGGTCGGGGGGGGGGAGTGGTGGGGTGGCGGGGGGTGCGGACCGCACCGGGTGACACCATTTTCGAGGGGGGGGGTGCAAATCGAAAGTTTAAGGGGGGGGGGGGGTGAAAATCGAAAATTTGAGGGGGGGGGGGTGCAAATCGAAAGTTTGTCCCCTTGAAGGGTCGCTACGCCTCTGGGGGGGGGGGGGGTGACACCATTAAGTGCCGCACCGGGTGACACTCGACCTCGCTACGCCACTGGTCTGCCTTCAAAGATGCAGTTAACTCTTTAACATTTCATAGTTTAAATAGACTTGAAAACTGTATCTCTGTAAATTAAGCAATTATTCAAACTGATTTGACCTCTTCAATAGTGTTACCTGTCCACGACTGTGCGTATTAAAATTACAAAGTAAGCATTATTACTAATGCAAAAAATTTAATTGTAGGCCTACACGTATATTTTATTTATATTTTGTAAACTAATTGTGCACCAAACGATGAATAATTTCATTGACTTTCTTTTATTTTCTTATCATATAACTCAAACATCTGCTTCGTGTTTTCCTCTTTTTGTTTAAACAGTTGTTGTCAAAATCATGGTGAAAGCTGTGGTCATGGCACCCATTGCTGCACTTTTCTTACGTGTAACCACAAGAGGTATTGGATATTGATATAATTAATTAAATTTGAGAGTACTGTAGGGGTCGGTGTGGTCGAGTCGGTAAAGCTCATGGTTGCTAAACCGAAAAGTCTCGAGACAACTCCAAAATTAAACAACTGCTGCCTTTTAGTTTGTTCTTGGTTGGACAAAGGCTATGGAAGCAAATCCAAAAAGAAAAGCAGGCTGAAATCGGAGTCAATGGCCTCAATGGCGCATAACCATGGTTGATAAATTCGAACAAAGTCTCGAGTTCAAACCCACTGGCAGATAAATCTCGATCCCCTTCAACACTAATAATTAAGAACGAAGAAGAAGAGAGTACTGTCTTTGTTAAGCGGAATATTATATCGACACTTAAAGTTGTCGTATGGTGGGGTGTGGACCTTTCTCATATGTAAAATTATCTCAGCTAATTATTCCAATAGTTTAATATCCAATTTATTTTAATTTAATGATAACTTTTCTTTTTAGCATTGTGTTAAAATTTGTAATTGAATCATAATTTTTGTTTTTTAGCACAGGGGGTACTTGTGGTTACCGTTTAGGTGAGATCACTCCCGTTATATGTATATATATAAAGCAATGTATGTGTGTGTGTGTGTGTGTGTGTGTGTGTGTGTGTGTGTGTGTGTCTGTCTGTCTGTCTTTTATGCATTACTACACCTCTCATCACATCGCCGTGAAACTTTGGGAAGTTGTTGTGAATATTCCTGGGGAGGTTTCTGCGGAATTTATTTTTTTTAATTTGCAGGGGTGGCGCCCCGGCAGGGCGCAATTTTTTTTTCTCTATATACGGTATATAAAAATAAAAGTCGATTTTGGTTTGACATCGTTCATCTGATAGCCATGAGACTTAGGGGAGTTCATTATAACACTCTAGGAAAGGGTTCTGTAAAAAATAATTTTTACTTTCGCAAGGGCGGCGCCACGGGAGGGTGCGATGTTCCTCTATATATGGTATATAAAAATAATAAAAGTGAATTGCAGTGACACCCTTCATCCGATAGCCATGACACTTTGGGGAGTTCATTATAAAACTCTAAGGAAAGGTTCTGTAAAAAATCATTTTTAATTTCGCAAGGGCGGCGCCACGGTATGTTGCGATTTTTCTCTATATACGGTATATAGAAATAAAAGTCGATTTTGGTGTGACACCGTTATCCGATAGCCATGAGACTTTGGGGAGTTGAACAATTTAGGGAAAGGGTTCTGTAAAAAAAATACTTTTTTAATTTCGCAAGGGCGGCGCTACGAGAGGCTGCGATTTTTCTCTATATACGGTTTATAAAATTTTGGTTTCACACCGTACATCCGTGTACCATGAAACTTTGGGGGAGATGATTAGATCACTCAATGGTAGGGTTCTGCAAAAAAAATATTGTTTAATATCGGGGGGGGGGGGGGGGAGGGGAGCGATTTTTTTTCTCTATACACGGTATATAAAAAATAAAACTCGGATGCGGTTGATCCGAGTGCCATGAAACTTTAGGGAGTAGATGAGAATACTCCCGAGAATATTTCTGCGAAAAAGAAAACTAAAGTTTCTTATGGGCAGCGCCATATAGGGTACAACTTTTATCAATACACGGTTTGGCGCCCAGAGTTTTAGAGCGACGATGTTAGCACTTGGCATCCGTTAATCGAGCGTCCTGCATAGCGAGTACGGGGTACTACTAGATCTATATTCAGCGGTAAAACTACAACAGGCTTCTAAAAATAACTTTGTAACGCGAGGAAATCCTTCTGTACAGTTTCGTCACCTTGCCAAAGATGAAAAAATAACTTTTTGAAAATGAGGAGCCTACTGTAGAGTTTCGTCACTTTGCGAATGATGAAATTAGCATCTATTATTAGACAACCCAGTCAGAAATTAAGATCGAGCATCTAATACTAGACCATTAGTAACGCTAGCATATTGCATCAGTCACACTGATATTTAAAACATGTCAAATACTTTTTAGCGCAATTTCCATACGGACAATTGCGATTATTAACTCGCCATTTCTGGATGGATGGATGGATGGATGAATGAATGAATGAATGAATGGATGGATGGATGTGTGTCCGCAGCTTTACCGCAGCTTTAAGTCGTATCTGCTCCTCAATGAAGCAATATCGAGGACTAGTTCCAAAAGAAAATATGTTAAGCAAGTTCCGAGGATGATTGTGGGCTAAAAAAGTTCCCGGAATTCCTTCCTGGATTTCCCGGAAAAGCCAAAAAACCTTTAAAAATGCAGTTTTTGGCCCATATCTCGGCAACCAGACCATTTAGCGACTTGAAACATATAACAATCGATTCCTGCCATAATTTAGAACAATATTGCTGAAGAAAGTTTTCAAAAATATTTTTTCCGTTGGTCACAAAAAAATTAATTTCTTCTAATTTGTATTGGCTAAGATTACTAAGAATATACAAATATTTCTACCACCCTCATCCCTTCGCGTCTCACCACTAGAAGAAGCGAAGCGGTAAAGTTCATAAACCAAGCACACCGGCTGAGGCAGTCGCTAGTGAGAGGTAACGTCTACTTGTTTTTTTTAAACTGAGCATCGTGTAGGCCTACTCGTTAAAATAAAACTATTTCCGTTGATATAGGTTAATATAGTTGTCTTTTTTTTTAGCGCAAATAACATAAGGAAATTGCGCTTAAATTGTCACTAGACTTATTATTAACTCGTTTTTACGTGTTAAAGAAAAAAATCCTGATCATTTGTGTCACCTTAACGAGTGACGCAATCTGCATCATTGTTAACGGGATGTTATTTGGCACGATGGTGCCTGTTAGTTTTAAGGAGCCAGGGTCCGTACGCGGCGCCTATGCGGTAGTGTAATCGAGGGGGGGGGGGTCCTGAGAGCGCCACTCTACGTCCCTGACACATGGGTGGTCAACGAAGTGTATTCTACCTCATTAATTGGGTGAGTGATTAATGTACACTCAAGTTTTTCATGCGGTTGTGTAGGTAAACCCGTTCCCCGATATTTATGATCCAAGCGCAGGCATTGTTTACATTTAAATAACTCACTTTTACAAAACAAGGTCACGCGTCTAAGAATATAGGATTGGTAACGTATGGATGAAACCCTTCTTATATATTTCGTCGGACTTTCTTCTATTCCCGCGGCAACGCGCGAGGACAGGTACGCTAGCAGCTTATAATAATTTACTCAACAACAATTTTAAATATCCGGGCTATGAAACGGACCAGGAAGAGGAAAATAACCGAATAAAAAAATATTGTGGTTTTTTAATATTCAAAACAAGTCTCATTTAAACATGAACAATAGATTGAGCGTTTTGAAAATGAAAATTGTAGGCAATCAAATGCTATGGACCTGTGCATATGTTTAGATTAGGATTTTAGTATTATGAATATATTTAAATATTACAAAATTAGCATTGTTAAGTTAACAATGCTGTTACTGATTATAATAGATTGTTCTTTTTCTTGCAGGTTTTTAAAAGAATAAAAGAGACTTCCAAAAAAAAATATTGATCATTGACAAACGTTTTACCTTTTTTCTTTCAATTTAATTTTTTACGAAATGACTATTGATAGGAGGAGAATATGTCACCATATAAAAACATACTAAACTGCTGACTGTCGTGGGGATTTTACAATGAATAATAAGTTGTACTTGTGCAAGTACCACAGATAGATAAATGTACTTGTCTATATTTGATATCCAGGAGTCACTTATATATGCTATAGCCGCTATTTGGTTATATATATATATAAGATTGCGCTGTTTAAGAAAGAAAAATTCTGAGGGTTCTAGGAACTGTAGATTTTCATTCACAGCTTTTTTTTGTAGAATAAAGCGTGATGTTCAGGCGAGCATCAAACAGAATTTCTGTGGAGTTTTCAGAATTTGATACGTTCCACTTGAGGCGTTTCAAATAGCACGCGACGAACCCTGGTAACCGGGACTGTTCTCGAGGGGACAGTCATCCGTGACAGCCAGCTGCAGAAGGTTGGTCATCACACAGTTGCCTTTCGAACCCTCGGGCAGATGAGGCTCGTTAGCTGGGGACAGCCACTCTTCTAGGAGAGACAACTCCAAAATTAAACAACTGCTGCCTTGTAGTTTGTTCTTGGTTGGACAAAGGTTATGGAAGCAAATCCAAAAAGAAAAGCAGGCTGAAATCGGAGTCAATGGCCTCAATGGCGCATAACCAGTTGACACGTAACGCTTAATTGTGTTGGAGGCGTGGTCAAGTCGGCAAAAAGCTCATGGTTGATAAATTCGAATAAAAGTCTCGAGTTCAAACCCACTGGCAGATAAATCTCGATCCCCTTCAACACTAATAATTAAGAACGAAGAAGAAGAAGAAGTTGCCTTTAGGGCTTTTGTAAAAGAACGGTGAGCACTTGTCCACATCACAGCTCCAACTGTCCAATGTCACCAGGTCGAAGGTTATTTCCGGCGCATGACAGGAAGCAGTCAGGGCATTGACTTCTTATAATCAAACAAGGGTTCATCAAAAGACTGTAATTCGATGCCAAAACCACTGAATTAAACTAAGACCGATAATAGGTTTTCATGTCGCCTATTAGCATCAATGACCAATGTTGTATAAAAGAGATGAGTTTCGCTCAGACCATTGCAAATAGCACAGTGTCTGTTTTTTTTTTATAAAATGTGTTATCTACGTCGATTACAAGATAAATGTTTTGACTGCACTTACGCTGGTTGTCATGGGTGGCTAGACTAGGGCTACATTTAGCAATAGCGAATGGGAAACACGTGGCTATCACCTTGTTGTTTAACTCTTTAGGTGGAAGATAATTAAGCGAGTAGGATCTGTCCATGTTATCCGACAAATCGCTGGCGTTCTTTAAAGACTGTATGAAATGTTTACTTTGGAAACACACGTTCCATTTTTAGAAGGGTGGAGTTGCCTTGAGTGTTGCAGTGAAATACGGTGAGGTTGATGAAATTCAATCCCGTGGTCAGGTCGGTGACTGGAACATTGCTCAGAATGTGGTCACGGTTTAAATAAGAGTCGGTTTTTGTAGTGAGACTATGAATATAAGGCGTGACGCCATCTATGTCTCGCTACGCCCAAAAGAAATAAAAAGAATAATAAAAAACAAACAAACAAAAATGTGGTCTGACACACACCCTCACTACAATAAAGATGATGGATATTACAATTTGACACGAAAACAACAATACACAATCTTTCGACTCAAAACAGGCCATAACAGACTAAATCAACACATGCATAAAAAACTAAAAATTGGGTGTGGCGAAATATGCCCTTATGGCAAGGCCCCGGAAAATACGGAGCACGTCCTTCAGGAATGTTCTCTATATAACCAGGCGCGAGTCAGACACTGGCCCCTGCTCATCCCACTCAGAGAAAAATTATATGGGGCACCTACTGATCTGGAGACCACAGTCCGGTTCGTTCACGAAGTTGGACTTGTTGTCTAAATCCTCCACCATATTCTCAATTAAGAACGAAGAAGAAGAAGAAGTGGCGTTGTGGCTTCCCGTTGGACAGGTGGTGATTAAAAAAATAGCCGAAGTTAAGTCTTTCTGTTAAACTGCACACCTGGCAGTCAAAGACGTTACCATAGAGACGTCTTCTGGCGGTGAGCACTTCCGGGCAAGCGGTGTCTACGTCATCACAGCAGAAGTGGAGCAAGTGGCACGTGACGTCACAGGAGCATGGAAACTCCAGGAGCATCCCGCATCGGCCTTGACACGAAGGCGGTTTCTTTCTAGGGTCAAAAAGCCAGACCCCCCCCCCAACCCGCTAAATTGACGTCACACCTCAGCCTCCCCTCCTCCCCCTCATCACACACCGTCACAAAAATACGCCCCCCCCCCCTTTCCTACGAGTGTGACGTCATTTATGGACGACCCCCTAAAGGCGTGTCCCTGTGTTCACAACACATGATCATGATGGTCGTGATCCGCTTCTCTTCTTTCAGTGCCGTCCTCTCTAGGCCTCGACCACGTTCTTCCTCTGTCTCTTTCACTAGCCAACGATCTGCTTCCGCTTCTAGACGTCTTCAAGGTTGACACATGTATTAGATCGACAGGTAAAAAAAAAGTACTAAAAACTCGGGGAGTCTTTTCCAGACAGTGGCGTAGGCAGGGGGGGGGGTTAGGGGGTCATAACCCCCCCCCCCCCCCCCCATAGACCCCTCGGTATATATATAAAGTATGAGGGGGGGTGCACATCGAAAGTTTGAGGGGGGGGGTGCAAAATCGAAAGTTTGAGGGGGGGGTGCAAATCGAAAGTTTGAGGGGGGGGGTGCAAATCAAAAGTCTGAGGGGGGGGGGGGTGTGCTAATCGAAAGCTTGTCCTGGGGTAAAAATTGGAACCCCCCCCCCCCCCCTTGAGACGATCCTGGCTTCGCCACTGTTTCCAGATAAGCCCCGCCTCTATTGTAAAAATAAATAAGTAAATAAATAAATACACGCACTAAATGTTTATTAAGCACTAAAATCTCTCACAGCTCTACTGCAAAAATTATTATCTTTCTTATTTAAGTGTTTTATGTCAGATGTAAACCGATATTTAAGTTAACTAGTCCCCCCCCCCCCCTGAATATTTAAATGCGCCCCCTCCCCAAAGAGTTTCAAGTGCCCCCTCTCCGCAGAGAAACAAATGTCTGAAAGAAACTCTGCCCAAATATATTGTTAAACTATTTAAATATATATATATATATATATATATATATATATATATATATATATATATATATATATATATATATATATATATACACAAATTAGTCAATTGAGGCAATCTGGGAAGCATAAACTAGACGACTTAAATATCGGTAAAACATCTGGTATAAAAGAAAAAATAATTTTGCAAGCAGAACTGGAAAAAAAAGACTAAATCCTTTTTATTCTAAACATACTTTTTATACATTACACACCAATTTATTCTAACCCATGTTAATGATATAAAAATTTGGTTGAATATAAAAAAAATTAGAGTACATTCCCCTTGTTCAACCGAGTAACATTCAAGGGAAAAACCAAGTTTCGAATTAATAGCATGGCACATTTATTGTGCGTGCTAGCGTGTGTGTTTTTTTTTTTGAGTGTCTGCAGAACGCATGTCAAAGGTTAAAAAAAATGCATCAGTAGACTCAATAAAATGCATTTTGTTATTTTTTTTTTGTTGTGTTATTTTTGGCATCGCCAGCACGTTTGAGAAAGATTGGCATTTAAATATACATCAACTGCAGCAGTTTGTTTTGTAGTGTAGCTGATGTTGCTTAGTTGTGTGAAGTACATGTTGTGTTGTTGTGTTTGTGTTGTGTAGTTAAGCACATGTTAAGTTTGTGATGTGTAGTTTAGCACATTTTGTGTTTGTGTTGTGCAGTTTAGCACATGTTGTGTTTGTACTGTGTAGTTTAGCACATGTTGTGTTTGTGTTGTGTAGTTTAGCACATGTTGTGTTTGTGTTGTGTAGATTAGCACATGTTGTTTTTGTGTTGTGTAGTTTAGCACATGTTGTGTTTTAGTTGTGTAGTTTAGCACATGTTGTGTTTGTGTTGTGTAGTTTAGTACATGTTGTGTTTGTGTTGTGTAGTTTAGCACATGTTGTGTTTGTGTTGTGTAGTTTAGCACATGTTGTGTTTGTGTTGTGTAGTTTAGCACATGTTGTGTTTGTGTTGTGTAGTTTAGCACATGTGTTCTAGTTGTGTAGTTTAGCACATGTTGTGTTCTAGTTGTATAGTTTAGCACATGTTGTGTTTGTGTTGTGTAGTTTAGCACATGTTGTGTTTGTTTGTGTTGTGTTGTGTAGTGTAGTGCATATTATGTATGTGTTTGTGTTGTGTAGCACTTTTGTGTTCTAGTTGTGTAGTTTAGCACATGTTGTGTTTGTGTTGTGTAGTTTAGCACATGTTGTGTTTGTGTTGTGTAGTTTAGCACATGTTGTTTTTGTGGTGTGTAGATTAGCACATGTTGTGTTTGTGTTGGGTAGTTTGGCACATGTTGTGTTTGTGTTGTGTAGTTTAGCACATGTTGTTTTTGTGGTGTGTAGATTAGCACATGTTGTGTTTGTGTTGGGTAGTTTAGCACATGTTTTGTTCTAGTTGTGTGGTTTAGCACATGTTGTGTTCTAGTTGTGTAATTTAGCACATGTTGTGTTCTAGTTGTGTAATTTAGCACATGTTGTGTTTGTGTTGTGTAGTTTAGCACATGTTGTGTTTGTGTTGTGTAGTTTAGCACATGTTGTGTTTGTGTTGTGTAGTTTAGCACATGTTGTGTTTGTACTGTGTAGTTTAGCACATGTTGTGTTTGTACTGTGTAGTTTAGCACATGTTGTGTTTGTGTTGTGTAGTTTAGCACATGTTGTGTTTGTACTGTGTAGTTTAGCACATGTTGTGTTTGTGTTGTGTAGTTTAGCACATGTTATGAATGTGTTTATAGTGCATGTTGTGTTCTAGTTGTGTAGTTAAGCACATGTTGTGTTTGTGTTGTGTAGTTTAGCACATGTTGTGTTTGTACTGTGTAGTTTAGCA